AAAATATGTTTTATGATTATCTCAGGAAGCAAGAAGTATGAAGATCCATTTGTTTGATGCTACCAAGGACCATCTCATAAATCATATGCTGGGGTGGCCATACAGGAACAAAGACAACTTGGGGCAGTGAGGAAGTGAAGGGCATGCAGGTAACCATTGCACCTCTGGCAGAATGTAGCTGTATGATCCAGAGCAGTTGCCTACAGTCTTACAATATCTTCCTGCCAGCTCTGTAGGCTCAAAGTCAATGAGGTAAGGAATACAAGTTCTCTCCACACTAAGGCATGTGTTTGTTTCATTACACTAAATATTTATTCATAAACATCCCCCATGTGCACAGAAGTGCTAACAAACTCCCTGGAAAATCTTGGAGGTAGAATTCAGGACCTTCCAAATAAAAATCATCAAGAGCTGTACTTTTTTCCACTCAAAGTTATACGGATCAAAACAAACTGGCAAGCTCTAGACAACTAAGAGAAATATACCCAAGTAATTCTTGATTCAGTCTACCAGTTATTCATCCCTTCCAGGTACAGAAGAAGATTAAATATATCTCTAGTATGTGATCCTGATGAACAATGCAAAATGAGGTATTGGAAATGAAGTGTTCGTTCAGTATAAGCAGATCACTACCTCATTTCCTTTTTTCCCTTTTGGGTAGGAATACATACATACATAAATGCAAATATATATATATATATATATATGTGTGTGTGTGTGTGTGTATGTGTGTGTACATATATATAATAGTTTTTTCATACAATATATTATGATCACAGGGCGACTTTGTTCAAATTTCCACAGGTGAGTAAGACTGCTGAGGCCTATGTGCATGTGTGTGTGCAGATGTGCATGCTTGCATGTCTGTGTGAGGTTTTAAACTAAATTTATAAATAGTCTACTTATTAAAGTTAAAGTAAGTAACAAATTTATTGATTCTTAAGTTGAATAGCAAATACTCTATTTTCATTTAAGCCAATTAAATGAGATAGCTCAAGGTAAGCACTCGATATGCTTGTTATTTGATAAGCAGCAATTTCCTATCAGTGTTGGTTTATTAGGCAAATACTGACTGGAACTCTAACTGGGCTCTCTGAGTAGAGAGTGCAAGCAGCGCCAGGATGTGACCACTCTGCTTACTGGGGCGTGGTGTCATGGAAAGATCGCCGATGTAGAAAGTTATAAATTAGATTTTCACTCTAAGATGAATAATTGCTATATTTGCCTTTCAGGAACTGATTTGCCTCCATCACCATAAGGTTGCTTATTTTATCATTATCCATGACTATTACTATGAGTTGGAGATATTAATACCTCGTCCTAAAGGAGCAGCAACATCTAAAGTTAAGTTATACTTTAAAAAGTCTCATCCATTGCCTGTCACGACAATATGTACAGTTCATAGCTACTGTTTATTTTTAGCTACTAAATGTATTCACTAAATGTAGTAATATAAATTATGCTCAATTCTAAAATTCTATGCATTTGCACACATAGTTATAAATATAATTGAAACTGTCATGTTATAGATAATGGAAATAAATACATTTAAGATTTGCTGGGAAGACAATTTTGTGCTCTATATATCTGAAATTTAGTGAACATGAACCAGAGGCAAAGCAGGGACATGTAAAAATAGGCGTCTGATACTGAGATTGCATATCTGACGATTCCCATTCAGACATCTTGACATATAACCCCTTAGAACACTCACATAGGAAAACAACTAAAACCAGCAAGATTACACTATATTCTCATCAGTAGATAAGAGGTCCTTACTCAGTGAAGAGACATAATACCCACCTACAGGACACTATTATCTTTTTATTTGAGGCTAGAAATAAAAAACCAAAAACGTTCATGTTCAAAAAAGGCCTTTCTGCCCTTACAGTTTGAGACCAAGTATATAGCGTGCAATCAAATAGCAATGTATGCAATAAAATACATCCATTCAGTTCTGTTTTATGTAATACTGTATTCACCCTAGGCATTGCCTATTAGGGAAAATATAACAGGCATATATTCTAGAGATAATGAGAAGAATATGGGACTTCTAAGTTACACCAGGAATACCTACTAAAGAACATAAGTTGCAAATGGACACAGAAACATTAATAAAAACAAACATGTGTATCTCTTATAGACATAGACCAAGGCCCAAGGATGTGAACTGTAAAGAAAACGTGGAAGGGGTGTCTCGGAAGTGAAGGTCTTTATAATTAGCAGTATTCTGGCATACATACACAGGAAAAAAGAAATAGAGGAGTCACATAGGAGCCATCAGACTAACCAACGTGGCTAGTAGAGGATCCGAAACTGTCTAATTGATAAAGTCACTAGATGGCACAAGGTTACTATTCTTCATCTCTTTACCTTCACAACACTAAGAACACCCTCATTAGTTGCTGGGTCTGTTGTGATTTTGAAGCACCCGTTTTCATTCCCTTTTAAGATGGTAAAATTTGCCTTCCAGTTGGGACTCTTAACCAAGTCCTTATCATCTACAGGGATGCGCAGGATGTCGACATTATATGTGTTCTCCTCCACAAAGGTTTCATACTGGAAGAAAAGGAGACATTAAAAAACGCAGTTACTATAGAAATTTTTCACCAAGTAAAATGCTTCCTAATTTCCAAAAGAACTTGTCATCATGGTGTTTATACAGATTACCTAAGAGCATGATCACAGAGAGTATTGTTTCATGAAACTCTAAGACAAAGACTATTTCCTACAAATGTAGACTGATGTCATTGCCCTTCAACAAGAGTAGATAGCATAAATCATAACATCTGGAAGCAGAAGTAATGTGTGTACAGTTAAAAGTGTATTTGAACTTAAGTTTTATTCATAAATGAATACATGCCTCAAACCATGCCAAAAACTTGATAAACCACATCAGATAACTGAGATAGGCAAAATAAAGATAGATTTGTGTGTTCTGAACTTACAGCATTTTGTCGGAATGTGGGCGCGTTGTCGTTGGAATCCTGCACTGTTATGATACAAGTTGATGTACTGATCAGTCCAAAGAATTGGCCATTCATGTCTTGGACTTTCATTATCAGTGTGTACTTGTCCACAACCTGAAAGGAAAACAAATACTTAGTTGACTCAGACACTTGTTTAGGTTCATAAATGAAACCTGTGTTGCACATTATTTTGCTTATTTTTATTTGATTTCTAGGCTTGGGAATACTCTTAAAATTTGGTAGAGAAAGGTCATTCTGAAAAGGTAACACTTTACAAAAAGATATACTGAGAATTTAGACATTTTCTAACAGAAAACAAAAAAGTCAGAGATGTAGTACAGAGTAATGACATTTGAGTTTTAAAATACTCAGAAAAATGTTAGCGTTGTCTGGAGCAGCGGTTCTCGACCTATAGGTCATACCTCCTTTGGGTTGAATGACCTTTTCACAGGGGCTCCCTAAGACTGTCAGAAAACAGATATTTACATTACAATTCACAACAGTAATAAGATTACAGTTATGAAGTTGCAGTGGAAATAATTTAATAGTTGAGGGTCCTCACAACATGAGGAACCGTATTAATGCTCGCAGCATTAGGAAAGCTAAGAACCACTGGTCTAGAGTAATCTAACCTAGTGTCATGGTGAACAGGTAGGGAGTCCCTACACTCCTACATTAGACAAGTGATGCAAACCTGAGACAGTAGAAGTATAAGCAAAGGGGAAAAGAGATGGAATGTACTTGAGAGTTAGAATAGAGTAAGATTTGATAATTAGTTATCCACTTAAGAGATAAAAAGGAGGTTGAGTGGGCTAAGTTATTTAGGTAGGTAGACAAGGCCCTCAGCAGCCATCATGGGAGTCCAGCATAAGACAGCTCTCTAAGGACAGCAACATTACAGAGGAGAATGAGGAGGGTTGGGAACATGACAGGTTTTTTTTGTTTGTTTGTTTGGGGAAAATTTTTTTTTTGCACATGTAGGATTTTATTTGCCTAATGGGATCTAATAAACAAGAAGCAGTAACACCTAACTGTGTGGTCCATCCTTCATGGTAGGAGGTGGGCATGGGCAGGCACCCTTCCAGGTGGGTGGATAGAATCGTGCAGAAGAGGTTATGACAAGAAGAGCTGAGGCGTAATGAGTAACAGCCTCCACAGGTGCAGCGAAAAGAAAGCTAAGCAAAGAGTATTAATACGCCAACGACAAAGGACCAAGATGAGAACCATCAATCCAAGGTAAAAGGCTTTAATATGTGCCAAGCGTAGAGACTAGAAGACTGGTAAACGTGGCCATCGGGACGTTACTGACGACCTCTGGACGAGAAGCGTTGAGCAGGGCAGGAAGAGAACTATCGGAGACACAGTCGCTAGTGTTTGTTGCCTGCTCTTGTTCTACTCTTCAGCAACCCCCGCTTCCATTGCATCTTTTCACTTCTGGAGTCTTCTCTCCTCCTTCAGGCTCCTGTTTCTGTGCCCTGCTTTCTCACTAGAGTCAGCATTCTCCCGGTGGGGTACCCCGCCAGCAGTCTTGGAGGCACTGGTAGCCTCTGCTGTTCATCCAACCTCCCTAACTGTTCCCTCCTTTTCTCATCTGTGTCTTCACTCCCTATGCCGCTCTGCACAAAGCGCCTGTCCACACAGAGTCCCATGACATTTGTGTTTGCAACCTGAAGACCGATCAGGTTTGTAAGTTTGGGCCTTTAAAAGGGTAATAATCAAGTCTTACAGTCTTGAGTTATGTCGTATGGCTTAGCCTCGTCAATTTGAATCTGTAAGGGAAGTGGGGAGCCCTGTTTTCAACTAATTAACATGCCCATTTTACATACTAGAAATGTCCATAGTATGTCTTACAAGTTCCCATTTGTTGCTATGATGATTAATCTCTACCATCAGCCTAATAGAATGTAAAATCTCCGTGGAAAAAGCATCCAGGTCTGTCTGTCTGTGGGGGAGCTACTAGTTTGGGTGAACTGAGATGGGGAGACAACCTAAATGTGGGCAGCAGCACAACTCCACAGACGGGCCCTGGGCAGCACAGAAGGAGAGGAGCGGAGCAGCAGAATCTCTCCCTCTCCTGCTGTGAGCAATCGTGACCAGCTGCCTCAAGGGGACCCGCCACCATGACCTCCTGCCCTGATGGACTACACCCTTGGACTAAACCCCTCTGTCCTTAAATTGCTGTTATCAAGTATTTTACAACTAAAACAGTATTACTCCATACTTTACCACATGAAAAATTAAATGGTGGTAACAAAAACCTTTGTACTCATTTGCCTTCGTTTCTGTAGATTCCCACAGTCTCTCCTGTTTGCTTTGGAGTCACACTCCATTGATTCCTCTGTGCTTGCCATAGAAATCACTCTAGGTACACCCTCCTAGCTATGCTGGAGGCTGTGGACTTGTCTCAATAAAGTTATTTGTACATGGGATTCATCTTCTTCAGTTAGTAACACTTGGTTCTGAGTTAAACAGGCTGACCAAATCGAGAAATAATAACAAAAGATTCAAAAACTTCTTGAAATAACTGGACTTGGGTGAACCAATCAATTTGTCTAACTATCACATTTCTCCTACCTAGATTGGCTCTTATTATATCTTCCTATTTCAAGTAAATAATTTTAAACACCAAGTAATACTCACATAAAGAAGTTGAGTAAAATTATCGCACATGTGACCACATGCTATTACTAGCAATTTAATTTTCTCCCAACGAATACTTTCCAATTTAAAAACTGCACATGGGTAGACTGACGGAATAGGGGTCAGGATAAGAACAACACTCACCAAAAAAGTTAAGCCTTATCACCCTGCGTATCACCTTATCACTTTACTGAAGCCTTCACTGCTCTGGAACCAACTAGTGTCACACATTAAAGGAAATAAAATAATATGCAATAGTTCTCCTGAGAAGCACATTGATTGCATCCTCCCTTTTAAACACTAATCCAACTCTATTACTTAAAGTTTCTCTTTACATATGGAAATAGGAATAATGCTTAAAAACTATGAAACATTCCAGAAATTCTTATTTTCTTATACTTCAGAGAAAATAAAACAGAATAGCAAGTTAAAGTCAGTGGGAAAAGAGTTAAACCCACAGTGAAATGACTCTCTGTAGTAAGGACGATACCTCTCTGTCCAAGTAGTGAGAGACGGTGGTGATGACGCCGGTGTCGGGGTGGACAGAGAAGAGCCCAGGTGACCGTGGGTTCTGCTCCAAGATGCTGTATTTGAGGCGTGTGTGCATCGTGTCAGGTTCATCTTTATCCGTTGCACAAACCACTCCCACCACAGTACCTATGTATTCAAAAAGCAAATTTGAACGTCCAGAACACCACAATGTGTTTGCTGTCTACACTATTCAACATGTCGGAGTGACAGCAGAAACCTAATTTAAAATGTGAATCTACCCAAATGGGTCACAACTTTAAACAGGATCTAGGAAGAAGACTCCTGATGGAGAAGCCAAACATTCTGGCATTAAGAGTCACAAATTAAAATGTTTGATAGTAAATTACCAAAAAATATATGTCAGTCAATAGTTAATTCAGAGCAGGGCCCAGGAGTTATGCTCATGTTACCAGCTCTAAGGAGACTGAAGCAGGAGGATTAAGAATTTGAGATCAGCCTGAGCTGTATAATAAGGCCCATCTCAAAACAAATAAACAAGGCTAAAATAATTTCAATATGAATTCCAACATATTGCACTAATAAGTCAACTAGAGATATAAAACATGTCTCCTAAAGTAATTCAGTCTATTAGATTTAATTAATAGTTAAGACTCATTTTAGTATAGTTATGTAAATGATGAAATTTAATTTTCAATTTAATTTAATTTATTAATTTATTGGGGGGATACGCCAAAGCACGTATGTAGAGCCTAAGAACGATTTCCAGGAATCAGTTCTCTTCTGTTATATTTGTCCCAGGAACCAACTCTTGTCATCAGACTGGATGGCAAGTTCCTTTCCTGCTGTGCCATATCACAAGCCCTCAGGGCGATCTTTTTTAGTTCACTCTCTCCTTTAATCTTCTACTCATCTGAAGACATTTCTCTTTGTCTCTTTCTTGCTCACTGTCTTGCTCTGTCTGCTCTGATTTGATTTATTTTGATTGGTCCTCCTTCAGGATCGTCACAACATGGATAAGTAAGAACCTAATGATAAGGTGTGCTTCAAGTAATCCAGATTAATGGAAGCCTACGTAATTGTCCTTCATCTCAAGGAAAGATAAAAGTCAATTGTTTCTCTTAGAAACCAGAAAACTGCAATGGGGCCATAGAGCCAGGCCTAGAAATATTACACACACACACACACACACACACACACACACACACCATGTCAAAGGAATATGAGATGGTGTGTATGTGTGTGTGTGTGTATGTATGTATATATATATATTTATCAGTGAGAAAATTCAAAAGCTGCCACGACTCCTCTCTCAGTGACTTTAAAATAGAACATGTGTGAGAAAGTGTGTTTTCTAAACTCTAAACTGTTCATCTTAACTTAATTTCACATGTGCACCAAGAGGATGTTAACACTGTACAAATCAAATTGTCATAGTAACACAAGAAAAGGAAACGCAGGTATAATACAGTAAGGACACAAGCAATGACCAGAAATCTTAGCAGAAAGGATATTAGCTATCTTTTATAACAGAGTCCCCAGTCTCGCCTTATGGTGGTATGCACACTTCATAACGCAAGTCTCAGAATCAAAGTAAGACAATGCTACGGAAATAAAACAATTTGCTTTAACGATGAAGGAGAATGTTTAGGATGGAACCTGTGTGGCCTAAGTGTCCTTCAAACTATTCTAATATGTATTCTAAATTATATGTAATTAAGTAGTCCAAGAAAATAGACATTTAAAAAGAACATAAAAACTTCATTTCCAGTCTCTATCATTTAATACTTTCCCACAGTCCCACTGAAATATCTATACTACATTTGTTTTTACTGTTCCTTCTACCCTGTGGGTCCTCTTGAAAAGGAAGATATGATAAAACTACACAAGAAGAAGATAAAGGAAAGTGCATATTACAAACAGCATACAAAGTCTGACTAATGGCTGCATCCCATAATTGATAATTAGTGTCACATTGACCAGAAATCCCAGTAGTATCTGGTAAGAGGCATGTTGATTAGAATTGATGGGATTTGACTAATGTTGTCTTATAAGTAGATCCCAGATCTGTGTTATCTCATGATTGACTGACCATGAATATAAAAACTCCACTGGGGAGAAACGTCCATTGAAAAACACATTTGTCTTGAGAGCACAAGGACCTGAGTTTGATCCCCAGGATCCACATTTAGAAAGAAGTTGGTGATGATGCTGTACTCAGAATTATAGAGCAGAAGGAGTCAGAGACGAGTGGATCTGCTGAGCTCAGTGGCCGCCAGCCTAGTCTACTTGACAGACTCCAGGCCACTGGGAAAAATCAAGGTAAATTGTAACTTGAAGATGATAGGGGAGATTGTAATCTAGTCTACACTAGATTAATCTAGAACACTAGATTAATCTAGTGTTCACACGCACACACACATGTGTGTATACACATGCACACACACATGAATACACAAGCACATACACAAACATACACATAAATGCATGCATGCACACACACAATGCAACTAAAACAAAAAATAAAAAATATCACTATCTCAAGAATATACACAAACATTTTTGGCATAGAAACAGTCTTACCAAGTCTACTGCTTTCTGGAACCTCAAAATTATAAATTGCTTCTGTAAAAAGAGGGTAATTGTCATTTTCATCCTCTACTTTGATGGGCAGTGGGAGCGGTTGGTCTGCTGAATAGCCATCTGCCGTGGATGCATAGGCAATCAGCTGTGGAAGAGAGACAGTCAGCGTCAGCAGCCAGACAACATCACAGCACAGGGGAGACGAACTGCTCGTCCCCTTCCCTGCAGTCCTTTCAGTAGAAAGCAATCCATCAGTGCTCCACACTGAGATAACTAAAGCAACTGCCCTTCAGGATAGGGAGAAAACAGCTGTTTGAGACAAAGAATAGGTCAGAATGTAGAGAAGATGGAGATAAAGTCACACATGCATTATTCTGAGGCATTGGGTGTACTTGTACCTCAGTTCACAGTCCTTAATCTTGTTGTCAGCAGTAAGGTTCATTGGGAGAATGGCCAATTCATGGCCATTAGGAAAAAAATCTTCTGCATTATCTGAAAAGCAACTTCCCAATCTTGTTTCTGGATTCTTATTGCATACCCCATAAATTGTATGTTTAAACAGATTTTTTTAATAAAATAAACTTATGAATCTCCTCATTGATTATTAACCAAAGGAAATACAAGATCAGACAGAATGTAGTTCTGCTCAGTATGTAATTACATCAATTTGAAGGTCTTATAGCCCATAGCAAAGACTGTCACATGAGGACATCAGTCAGATTGGTTCCTCTGTGCCTCCTTTGTCCTCTAGAAGCAGACTCCTTCTTCCCAATGGGGGCTCCTTCTTGCTGAACTTGGTTCATGACAGCAAAGCACATTCTGTTCTATAGCGGAACCTGTTTAAGTCAGTGCCCCACTGAGTGAACACTTATCCAGATCCGAAAACTGAGCTATTAGCCTTTACTTAGGCTTTGTTTCTCACTTTTATTCCTTTATCTGCTTATCAGACATGATCAGAGAGTAACATACATGGGAGAAAAGCAACAGGAAGCTGGAGCCATGGAGGAAGCTCAGCTGTGAATCCTTCTGGAGAACTGAAAACGTTCTAGTAAACAGAGATGATGTCTAGCATGCTGAACCCAACTCCTACAGCTGCACTGAGTTTTATGTTCAAATACAATTAAACCTCTTTGCTTCATTTCAGGGTTGCCTAACCAAAGCTGAGATAAAGGGCTGAGCAAGCATTCCAATGCACAGTGCACGCTATTGTCCTCTGACTTTTCAACACCCTCTAAGAAGATAATGCATGAAGGAAAGAGCAGGTGAGGCCCCAGGAGACAGACGGTTCATTAACAGAGAGCCATATTTATTGATAAAGCACCTACCTCAAAAACGTCATATTCCTCACGATCCACAGGCCGGGTACAGAACAGATTCCCAGTATCTCTCTCTATGAAAAACAAATTCAATGGTTCTTGATCAACTCCACGCCCACTTATTGAGTATAAGATGGTGTAATTCTGGGCTGCATCAGACTGAACCTGAAAGAAAAATACACAAAGGTAGGCTCTTAGAATTCAACTTAAATGCTAATTTGTGACATATATACATAAGTATTTTGCATAGTTTTATCTTAATGGCAATATTTCAGTAGAAAAGAGCAACATGATATAGTTGGTAAGGATATGGCCATAGTACATATATGGAAGTCAGAGAATAACTTGCAAGAATGAAGTCTCTCCTTTCACCATGTGAGTCCTAGGGACAGGACTCAGGTGTCAAGCTTGGTGGCAAGTACCTTTACCACTGAGCCATTTTGTAGACTCTTCCCTACCATTTCTTTACAGCTGAGTCCAAAGGTGGTGGGAAGAAACTCCATCAAAACTGCACTTAAGCATGGCGATGCAAGGGCAGCCAAAGGAATACACAGAATAATATGAACAACGAAGCAATATAATAACAAAATGTAGCAATGTAAATAATAGTATTAATAATTATGACATAGTAGACTGTGTGAACAAAATAGTGAAGATCTATGAAGATTTGGGCTCTATAAAGTGAAGCAAGTAGTCTTAATTTTGAACACCGGAAAAATCATTTTGACCATGCAAAGGTGACTGAGCTAAGTCTGTAGTACCAACATATGTGGGACTGAGGCAGGAGGATCCCAAGATTGAGGCCAGCATGGGCTACACATTGAGCCCTCATCTCACTTCTAGTACCCCTTCCATGAAGGAAAGAGAAGAGGAACCTTTAGTTCTCAATGCTGTCTTTGTACTCCAGAACTGCTTCACTGGTGAACACGTTCACCGGAGAGGAGTGAGCATCTCCCTTGTTAAAGCTGGTGCTTTCTAGAATTCCTGTGAAATGTAGCTATTCTGAAGACCAGGACACAGTTTCTTTCTATCTTCAGTGCATATAGCAGTATCTACAACACCAAGTAATGGATATAAATAGCCAGTAATCATCTCCTGAATCACTGAATAAGTGATTAAAGGCATGCAAAGGCTGTTGTTGTTCTACACCATTAGTACGTCAGTCATTTCCATATTTTATTCATTTGTATTATGTTGTATTTCACCAGCAACTTTAGTCATATCTGCTTTTTTGGCTTTTCTTGACACAGGTTTCTCTGTGTGGCTTTGGAGCCAGTCCTGGAACTTGTTCTGTAGCCCAAGCTGGCCTCAAACTCACAGAAATCCTCCTGCCTCTGCCTCCCTAGTGCTGGGATTAAAGGGGTGTGCCACCACTGCCTTGATTTATACTTATTTTTTTTTTTTTTTAGTGCTTAACTATTTGCTAAATCCGAGTCAAGCAGACACTCCACTTAGCCGGACCACACAAAAAGGAAAGAACATTCACCTGCTGAAGAAACAATGGGAAGGGACCCAAGGAATTCTCTTGCATCGAGCAAGGAATGGGTGCCCATCTTCTCTTGGCTCTCCTGAGGACAGTGTTCTTGGTGTGTCTTTTCTTCAGGACCTGAATTTAAAGGAAAAAATAAGTATCAGGAGCATCACAATCGAAAATGCATGTCCCTTACTGTTCCTTTTACATGTGCTCTCCTATATGGTATATGTCCTACATGCTGTCCTTTATGGTAGCCACTGGTTGCAACTGTGTTAACTAAAATTAATTTAAATGGAAAGCTATCCTTTCTTTTGCACTAGTTTTATGTTAATCACCCAGCAGTCAAGTCACTGTACCAGACACTGGAGATAACAAAACATTCTAGAATATTTCTATCAGTGCAAAATGTTCTACCAGATGCTTTAGAAGTAATAATTTTATTTCATGTAGCAAAGGGAGACACTTGGTTTCATGGTAATTATTAACAACTAATAATTTTATTAAATATCCAATAAAGCACTAAGCAGTCATTTAATTAACCTTACCATTAATCTATTAGCATAGATTAGGTGTAGGCCAACTGAAATCTTCCATCATTTTGTGACTACATTTACAATGCTGTTTCTCATGAGTAAGTGCTTGCACTAATAAGAAATTCTAAAGGCTGTGATGAAAGGGATCTCAAACCGACCCTGGAACACAATTGTCTTAGGTAGAAATCAGAGCTAGACAAAAACTTCACAGAATAGGATATCATTACATTTAACACCAGAAAAACCAAAGCCAGCATTTAACTGGTGTTGAGAAAGTTTAAAAACAAAAGACAATGCAAAAGAATAGAAGGAGAGAAGAAAAATAATAGGAACAAAACCAGATAGTAGAGGAGGAAGAGAAAGGAATGGTGGAAGGAGGGCTGGTAGGAAGAAGGGGACAAAAGCAGAGAGCAAAGATGCTATTTTTAAGGGAAGGAATTTTACTGAAAAAAGCCCCATGCTTGAGAATGTCCAGCGTGCTTTGCGTACCTTCTTCTGGTGCTCCAGCATTATAGGGATCTCTTTCTGTGTCTGTGTCTTTGAGTCAGAAAGCTGAATGGTAAATGATCTTTTCTTGCCAGACAATGCGAAAGCTCTGACTGGATAAACTGACCCATCATCTAGAACTCGGAAATCAGGATCGCTTGGCCTGATGCTATCAGCAGAGCTGAGACACTCTTTCAAATTAACTGCCGCAGAAATGTTCCAGTTGTCAGATGGAGACACATGCATGAAGGAAACATATATGTTAAAATACTCTCCGTGATCATGAAAACCAAGCAGTTGGCATTAGTAGAATACCTTAATAGCCTTCTCTCATTCTTAAAAATAATACTCTGATTTTAATTAACAATGAAGGTTCTTGACTGTATATTTTTGTTGAACATGAAGCTTTAAATGTTAACAGGCTTCTAGTAGCTTATGAAATGATTGTCCACCAAAGACTAGCACACATGACTCTCATGACAAAGGTGAGCCACACACCCGCAAGGTGCACCTGAATAAACACAGGGAAATTTCCCTCAACAATACACCGACAGTGTCTTCAGAGGCACCTGTCTATCGTCAGAAGACACATACAGAAACACAAAGAACAGAGGAACATGTGAGCTGACAGTCTAGTAAGGAAAACCAGGCCCTGAGTTCTTCCCGTCGCACTCCTGAACATTCCAGCCCCAAAGACACAGCTTCCCATGGTCCTCTATGAGAACGCCACATGGCATCTTCCCCATCTGGGGATTTTGTCTCCTAATAAAAGGTGATGACTTTTTAAGTATGAAAACACCACTGTTTCCCATCCCGTTCTTCATCTGCTTTTACAGAAATCAAACTGACAATGCCCAAACAATGACCTCACTTCAGGGCCCTTTGCTTCACGTGTGTCTTTGTTTAGCCTGAGTCTGTCATGGGCGGACTTAACAAAATGACGGAGGTTTCACCGAAAGGCAGTGAATGTTTTAAGAGATAACAATCTACTTCTCTGATCTTTATATTCTTAGCTGAATGATTTCGTCTGATTTATTCTCCCAGAGGAACAAGCTACCTCTCTTTACATCTTTCTTTTCTTCTTCCTCACAGTAGAAAAAGTGGAATTAACCTGATTAAATCAGCTAAAAGAGCTCAGTCAGGAACTGAACACTTTGCTGAAAAGGCCATTTCTATATCTCTAACAAGTATTTAGTTTTTTTTAAAAAAATTAAAAATTGTTATGGTTTCCTCTAATTTTTCCAAACCCACATTAAAAACAAACAAACAAACAAACAAAACCACCTGGGCAGAACTGCCCAGCTTCTGGGAGAAACTGAAGTTTATTCAGTTTTTCAGGGCTCCATTTTAAAATGGCTGACTATGTGCAGTCCAGAGGAGAATGGTGTGCTTTGTTACACTTCTCAGTGAAGGTGTAACACTCATCAGAATACTACTCCAGGGCTGTCAAGATGACTTAGTGGATAAAGGTGTTTGCTGCCAAGCCTGACACCCTGAGTTTATCCCTGGTGGTCACGGGGTAGAAGGAACGAATAAAATACCTCAAGTTGTCCTCTGATCTACACACACAGAGACACACGCACGCGCGCATAGCCCATGTGCACAAACACCAAGTAAATAAATAAAATCTAAGTTTAAAATCAAGGATTGCAGTACTGTTTTTCTTCAATACTCACTCACCTATACTTTTGCAATTCTTGTACTCTGAGTGTTAAGAATGTGATATTTTAAACTGTTGAAAGATTAATGATTGTAAAAACATGGATTGGAAAAGTCACACTAGAATTAACCACCAAATCTAACAGATATAAGGGCAAAAATGTGTGTTTGAATAATACTGAACTGTATCCATTTCTAAGTCAATGTAGACTAGCTCCAGAGGGCAAAGATGGCACACCACACTTCTCACAAACCAGGGACACTCCACATCTGTTTCAAAGCAGCTGTGCAGAACGTCCTCACCTCTTCCAATTATCTGGTCAGCTTCCAGTGTCGAAGGCACATTTAATGTCACTTTTTTACAGGCTTCACCGGCAAAACTGAAGACCTAGAAAATTTAAAATATCACATTAATTCATCAGAAAATACAAACTACATGGTCATCTCAGTAAATGAAGAACAAGCAATTGACAAACTCTTCCTTACATTGATGATAATGGACTAAATATCCTAGTGACATACAAAAACTTGCTTAACAAAGAGTATCTATGCAAACTGACAACTAAGCTGACTAAGTTCATGATTAAGTGAGAATAACTAAATGCTTTCCTTCACTATTGGAAACAAGACAACTGTGCCTACTCCACAACTTCTATGTGATATTGTAATAGAGCTTCTAGCCAGGCACTAACACAAGAAAATAAATTGATCTAAATAAACAAATTAATTGGGAAAAAAGAAATAAAACTTTCTAGTTTCTCTCTCTCTCTCTTTCTCTCTCTCTCTCTCTCTCTCACACACACACACACACACACACATGCACACTCACATACTCTCTCTCTCACACACACACCCATGCACACTCACATACTCTCTCTCTCACACACACACACACACACACACTACTCACTCTCTCACACACACTCATTCTCTCTCTCACACAAACACACATTCTCTCTCTCACATACACACACTCATTCTTTCTCACACACACATTCTCTGCCTCTGCCTCTGTCTCTCTGTCTCTGTCTCTCTGTCTCTGTCTCTCTCTCTGTCTCTGTCTCTCTCTCTCTCTCTCTCTCTCTCTCACACACACACACACACATACACACACCAAATAAATAAATACTGTAAATAGCTTTTATCCTGTAAACTAGCAAAATCTCCTAAAACAGTTCTATTTAGTATAAAATACTTTGGAATAAATTTGTCAAAGAAATACAATATCATGCCCTGAAAATAATAAAACATGGTGATAGAAGTTTACAAAGATCCAAATAAGTGGAAAGTTAATTTATCATTATGGATCAGAGGCATATTCTACAAATACAATCTCCTTTGAATCTCAGATTTCTTTTTCGAAGGAACTGGCCATTTAATCCCAGAATTCAGGAGGCAGAGACAGGTGGATCTCTGAGTTGAAGGCCAGCTAATCTACAGAGGGAGTTTCAGAATACCCAAGGCTGCACAGAGAAACACTGTCTCAAAAGAAACAAACAAACATGGACAAAAAAGAAAGAAGAAAGAAAAATAAGGAAATAAAGGAGGGAGGGAGAAGGGAAGAAAGAAAGAAGAAAGGAAGGAAGGAAGGAAGGAAGGAAATCCTTAAAGAAATGCAAAAGAACCCCTGACACACACACACACACACACAAATACACAAGATAAACAAGTACGTTGGAGGGCTGACATTATTCTGTTTTGAAACAGCTCAAAGCTCCACTAACCAAAGTCAAACGTTGTTAACAGAGATTAGAAGTGACATCCTAAAAATAAGCCTCACTTCTGGATAGTCCCTGGAAAGTTCAAGGGTCAGAAATCTCACCAAATGGTGCTGGGATGGTAAAAGTGGAAATGAGCCCCTAAGTCATGCCATGCCCAGAAATTAACAGAGTGGATTGCAGACCCAAGGATAAGGATGAAAACTATTTAGAACAGTGATTCTTAACTTTCCTAATGTTGCAACCCATCAATTCAGTTCCTCATATTGTGATGATCCCTGCCATAAAGTTATTTCATTGTTGCTTCATAACTGTAATTTTGCATCTTTTATGAATCACATTGTAAATATCTGATATACATCCCCCAAAAGGGTCACAGTTCAAAGGTTGAGAACCTCTGATTTAAAAGAAAATTTCTCAATCCACTTTGGGCAATAATTTCTTATCTGCAATATCAAAACACAGCACTGGGTGAGCAGGACTTGTTTGATATTTAAAACCTTTGTGCTTCAAACATTATGGTATTGAAAGTGAAAATAAAACCCACAAAATGGGGGACAATACTTTCAAATGAAAGAATAATTAGTGACATATATGTAGTATATAAAGATACTTTGTAACTTCAAAAAGATGGTAACTAATGAAAATAGAGGTAAAGATTTGAATACAGGTGTTCAAAGGTGTGCCAATGATGGCTAAGAAGATGAAGAAATGCCCAACGGCATGAGTCACTCTAAACCATGAGCTGCCTGCTGAGTGAGCTACCATAAATAAGACCGAAATGCCAAGTTGATGTTAAAAATACATAAAAACTAGAACCTTCCTGTATTTTCCATGAAACTGGACAGTGATGTGGATATTTGGACACAGTTGCAGTTTCTAAGAGAATTAAACATTAAATAAAGATAGTACAGCAGTTCTATGCTGTTCAAGAGCTGTGTCCACACCAAATTCTACATGTGTAGTCATAACAGCACTGTTGATAAGGAGCAAGAAGGGCAATCACATCCACCCAGTACTGAATAGATCAACAGAATATGTTCTAGCATGCAATAGAATATTATTCTGCTATTTTTAAAAAAATCATACTATTGATCCATTCTAAAATATGGGCAAATCTGTCATCATTACATCCATCAGATTCCGACACAATAGAGACAGCGTGTGTGCGTGTGAGGTGTGAGGTGTGTGTGTGTGTGTGTGTGTGTGTGTGTGTGTGTGTGTGTGTATGTGTATGTATGTACGTACGCACGAATATGACTTTATTCTAAGAAGTGTCCCAACAGACAGCTATGTGGAGACAAAGGATAGTATTGGTTGACTACAAGGGGGGAAGGAAAAAGAAGCAACAAGAAATGAACTCACGTCTTCTTGGGAAAGCTATGGAAATGCTCCAGGGTTAGACCATGGTGATCATTGCATACTCTAAATTTGCTGAAAGTCACTGAATTGTGTGCTTAAAGATTGTAATTCTGCTTCTGGCAGACATCAGGAAATATGTTTGAAACAGAAAAAGGTACATCATTGGCAAAATCATTATTCCTTACACATACATCTCTACCCCTTTCAGATCTACAGATTAATATATGAAATCTCAGGAAATACTGTAAAACCATGAGAAAGGATTTCAGCTCTGATATAACCAGGTCCATTAGGATTTAAGTGATTATCTCATGCTAACTTAACAGTGGGTGCAGACATAATCATATCATCCCTCAATATTTATGGTTATTTATGTTGTTTTCATTCTAAGATAATAAATTGAGCATCCCTTGTAGGTACAAGGAACTAAAATATATGATATAAACTACCATACAAATCCCTGTGCTGCACTCAGGAGGGAGCCCCTACACCACACCTGAGCAACACAATAGAGCTGACCCTGAAGGTGTAAGTGTGGGAGATCCCACCCTGAGGACATGAAAGCAGAACTAGCCCTGCCCCTGGCTCATTGATGAAAGGGGTGAACTAGCCAGAGCACTGCAGGAGAGCTCACACTGGTGTGAAGACAACAGAGCTCACACTGGTGTGAAGACAAGGGAGAGCTGCGGGCTGATTCACCCTGAAGCTACCCAGGGCCAGAACCAGGGTGATGTGTTAGCTTCCCCCAACATCTACTCCATCTGTGATCTGTGGGAGCACAGGGAGGGACTGGTCCTGCAGACCCAAAGCTGCAGGATCTCCACGACACAGGGTGACAGAAAGATAACCAAAAGGAGTCCCAGTAAGAACCCAGCATCAACAGTGTAGCAGACACCAGACCAACGACTCTTTGCAATGGACACATGTGAGTAAAGAAATGTGGATAAAAAGGTTTCCTGTGTAACTCACTGTGTCACACTAGAGCTGCCATGATGAGATTGATGTTTCCTTCTTCTTTTTCTTTTTTTCTTTCTTTTTTTTCTCTTAAATTTTATTTTATTTTGGTGGGGAAGTTGCAAGGGCAGAGGGTGGAAACAAAGGGACAGAGAAATGAATGGGATGGAGAAGCATGACGTGAAAGACATAAAGAATGAATAAAAAGAACGTTAAAAAACAAACCGCTTTGTGCTTATGAATGCTCTGTCTCACTGCTTATTGATAAATTTTCTTCCAAGTCTTACTGTTCATGGAGCTGGAACACTGGTGTGCATTTCTTATTTCTTATACCATCTTGAATTTACTTCGATTCCTTTTTAATAGATTAATCTGATGACTGTGTCATCTGCACTTTTAAATTTCTTTCTTGCCATTTGTCTTCTATTGTAGCACTGAATTCTCCCTCTTTTCATCTTCACTGGGGTTCACTGTGTAGCCCTGGCTATCCCGAAATTCACTGTGTTCATCAGGCTGCCTTCAAACTCCCCAAAATCCACCTGCTTCCCCCTCTGTAATGCTGGAACGAAAGTCATGTTCTACTACAGTCAGTTTAGTTTACTTTTTTAATTATAGGGTTTCTTACTTACAAAATTTCTATTTTTCATAATTTGTGGCATATTTTATAAACATGGCTACAATTTTAAAGTAAATAACTTTGTTATTTTCTTTGCAATTTTCATCAGTTGTATTAATAATTTCTTCTGGTTTGGGTTTACTATGACTTAATAGTATCCAGCATAAGCATATATCCAATATTTTCTTCTCAAACTGTAAAACCATTTCTACCCTTGTCTTCTACTCATGTGATATATATATATATCTTTACCTCCTGCTGCAGAGATCACTACTGACATCACCCTCACAATGATTCTCCCAATCTTAGCTCATGGTGTTACATCCACAATAAGCCTAATACCTATTTCCCCCAGATGCATTCTTCTGGGCTTTCTCCATGATTCTATCTGTGTACATCTATCTCTCCATCAATACTCCATTGTTTTACTCAATACAGCTTTATATCAAATCTTGGTGTCTATGAAGGTGCCCCCAGGACCTATATCACTTTCCTTTAAAGAAAGCTCTTTTACCATCCAAGTCTCTCAAAGACATATAATTATGTTACATAAGTTTTCAGTGAAATTTCACTTACGTTTTTAAAAGAATTTGACATAAAAGAGCCCCTAACCATGGTGAACACATGCTTTCATTCATTTGTAAATTATGCTATGCCATTTGAAGAGACATTCTGAATTCACCCTGAAGTTCTTTTAGGATCCATTAGACTGTTTCTACTTATTTCCTTTTGCTCTTT